AGGGGTACAGCGTATTTTGTTAAGAAGTAAACATAATCCCTCTGTATAAGCATAGTTCGTATTACTCTCTAAAGTCCTGAAGACAATTATCAGTCGAAATTAGTCCTCCCTCCTCTTTATTCTCCACCACCCCTAGCCCCCAAATGTAGTTTCATGGTCCCCCCGTCTTCATGGGGATTTTAAGAGAAAGGGGAAGGAACTTTTTCCACCGCCTCCCCTCGTGTACGCTAATGATTCATTAAATAATGTTTTCGTACATTCCTAATAATATGATTAATGATTTTTATAACGATTAATTGATTTATAAAAAATAAAAAAATTAGGTATAACTCCGCGGCATTAATCTGTTCTAGGCGCATTTAGATGTTTATTGTTGACTTTTGTTGAAACAAACGGAGTTGAACTAATGCGATTTAGTACATGTTTCTAAGATGGTGAAATGGAACGAGGCCGAGGTGCTGTCCTCCTTGTCATCTAAAACAGCGGACTGGGAAGGACGTTTGTCGTATAAATGTCCTAAAACCTCAGGCGGATTCAATCTTCAGCAGCAAACTTTCAAGGTTTAATACCAATTCACTCGCCCTTTAAACTATTCTCAAATACTCGTTTAAAAGGTATGTTAATTTTGTACAGGACCACTAATTTTCAGCAAAATTATTATTATTTATTTGTATTCTTTTAGGGTTAAGTAAGGTTAAGACAATTTCTGGGCCGAGCGTTGCGTCTAGGATAGGCTAGGGGGGCCGAGCGCTGCGGCTATGACTGGCTAGGGTGCCGGGTGCTGCGGCCACATGACCAATTATATCCATGTGTTACATCTAAGATCCATGTACAAAATGATGAGTACAAACAGCTTACTNATGCGGATCCACGGATCCGGATCCAAGGGGTAAAATATCAACCAAAAACTACAAAAAAAAAACTTTTTACTCCTAAAACCCAAATCTGATCTTTTGAAAAAAAAGAGAGTATAAAAATTTCCTCATTTCTGAATGGCGGTCTGGGGGGTCCATAGCGGGACTTCTTTTTCAGATTTAATTTCCTTATGATTCCTTATAATTCATCAGGTTTTAGGATAAAATTAAGCGAAAAAAAATAAAACACAAAATTTGAAAACTATTTTTGTTAAAATTATTCAGTAAATCTTAAAGAAATGACATGGATCCGGATCTGGATCCATTTTTTTCAATGCGGATCCAGAATCCGAATCCGCATCAAATTTAAATGGATCCTAAGCACGGAGAAAACAATCGAATTATTTTGCGCGCGCTAAAGATTTTTATCCCCCCCCCCTCTGGTTTTTTATACAGGGAGTTCTAGAAACTGAGATATTGCGATGGAGATTCCTACGATCCGGTTCGTAGGAAATGATGAGAACAAATGAATAAAATTACAGGGTGTCTTTTAATAACAGTATTTTATTTGATGCCAGAACCTCAAATCTGATCCGATTCTCGTTTTTAGATTGTAAGAATATCTACTTACATACACTGATAGTTTGGATGTTTGATAGTTTAATTTGCTACAAACATGATTCAAGATTTATGATTTTAGATTTTAGATCGGAAACTTTTCATTGATAATTTGAATGACCAAAAACCGAAAATCCGTTCCAAATCAGAGGCTCTGACTCGTTCTTCAAGGACGTATACAATCCCACATAAATAATTTTCCTTCTCAATTTTTTACAAACCTATTACATTTTTTTAAAGGCTGAGGACCCGGACATATTCTTGTTCTGTATCATCTTCCAGATTCAAGAGGGGGCCGAGGAGAAACATTGTTTTGTCGCAGAAAATTTGAGGTAATTTTATTCATCTTAATTGGGACAAGATCAGTTATTCATGGGAAGAGGGGGGGGGGGGCTCTTTTTTGAAGAAAATAAGTTTCATATTTCGAATTCTACATTTTCTCACTTTTTTTTTACATTTTTACTATGCTTCAGTTTCCCAAAAATGTGACAAATTAAATTAATTTTAATAATTTCAAATTAGAACTAGAGTTAGATTCGTCATGAAATCCACGCATCAATCATTGAAAAAATCCGCAATTTAAAACACGGTCTACAGTGAACACTTTCCAGATCCATGAATCAGTGGATTTCTGCCCTAGCGGAGTCCAGCTATGAGAAGAAGAGAGAACAGCTGATAAATCTTCAAATTAAACTACGTTCAACAACAGGCATTGATCCACTAGGAAAACTAGGTACAATATTTTTTTTTATAATTTTTATCCAGTTCAGGAATATTTTTATGTATAATGTTAATCTAAGATGTTAAATTTAATTTTTTCTTTAAAAAATCAGGGGTACAGCGTATTTTGTTAAGAAGTAAACATTTAAACAATAGAAATGCGAAATTTTTATCTTATTTCCCTAGATCTGGGGGNACGTTGATACGAGTTTATACATAACTGTTTATGTACAGGTGGAACTAATCTAGAATGGAACCCGTTGTACACCCTGCCGCAGGAGGAATCAGTGCAATACATCACCCCTCGAAGTGCAAGGAAATGTATACATCGAAAAGCTCCGCCCATCCCTGGATCCAACGGCTCCGCCCCTAAGTCCAACTTTACCTCCCACCTGGGTATAACAGCCTGGGAAGAGGAGGGGAAAGGGAGAGAGGAGGAGAAGAAGGATTGTGATAACTGTGATAAAAGTGTGGGACAAGTCACTCCGTCCTTTAAAAGTCATCTACCCGATATGGACACTAACTTAATACAGTTTTAGCTTTCCTCATCATTTAAAAGACTCTCCTTTTAACCCTATCCCTGCTGGGGTACTTGAAAACCAGGATATGCTGGGGGGGGGGGTCAAGTTGACCCCCCCCTCTAAATCCCATGTTTGATGTCCAAATATGACAAATGATACATCATTGGAAAGCTCTTGTGCTCTACTTTTAGAATCTGCAAAAAATTTAGCAAATTTGCAAAAATTGAATTTTTGATCGCAAAATCCAGTTATATAGTAAAAATGTTTGCCAAAAAAAAATTGTCCAAACAATGAAAAATTATACATTTTTGAAAAGCCCTTGACCATGCCATTTCAAATCTGCAAAATTTTTTGCAAAATTTTAAATAACCTGATTTTTAATCAAGAAAAACTAAAACTGTGCAAATTTCCTTTGACAGTTAGTATTAAAGCCCGGTTTTAGGCCTAAAGGGAGGGCTTTGGGTATTTAGGAAAAGTCAGAAAATTTCAACAGCCTCAGACCAATACTTTTTGAGTTATGTATAAAAAACTACAGGGGGGGGGGTCAAATTGACCCCCCCCCCCCAGCAGGAATAGGGTTAAAGAGGAGCTAGCACAATTCATAATGGTACCCTTGAAACTTTTATCTGTTCAATAATCTGGAAGATTACGTCGTTTTTCTGGCTCGAAAAGTGTTAAATTCTGATGATTTCTCAATTGTTTCTGAAGCAAGAAATACGCAAGTCACTTTTGCAGAGAACCTATAAATGAAAATAAACAGTTTTGAAAGCAAAAACATGAAAATCTAATTTTTGACCAGACAAAGCTTTTATGGGTACCGTTGTGAATAGAATATGTCACTTTCCATGTAGAGTCACTTGAAATTACCGTTTTTTAATTCCTTTGAAGTTATTTACCCTTTTTTACATCAAAAACTCTGAAAAACAGTAATGGTTGTATGACTCATTTTGCTCAAGATGTATTTTTAAAACGAAAATTAGGCTGTTAAAATATGTATTCAATAGAAAATTTAATAGTTAATAGTTTTTATGTTTTTATTTTATTATGTTGGAATGTATCTGTAATAATTGGTTTCATGCTGAATCTTTCGAATATCAATTGCTTACATGGTTGCCAAAATTATAAAGCTTATATAATTAAGTTAAATGTAAAATTTGATATTTTCCCCCTTTTCCTCAGTGTCTACCTGGATATGAAGGTCAATTACAGTATTCGCGGGGTTTAGAGTATGTTAACCTAATTTGGTGTATTCACTATACAAATGAGTTTTTAAACAGTAATGGACGGATGTTGGTTAGATTCTGTCTGGAAAGTTTCTTTTTGACCTATAATCTATATATCTTGTTAATCATCCGTTAATACTAATCTTTTTAATTCGTCCTCAGTGGTTTGTTTTTAGAACAATGCATTGAGTTATACAGTAACTTGATCAATTAAGCTGTACTTACTTTTTTATATCTGTACAATACACGTGACTAAACTGTACAGTGTACAATTGTATGTACGAAGTAGCATTGCATTTATCAAGTTAAACCATCTTTGCCTTATATTTTATTTTTTATTTATAATAACTAAACAGTGCTTTCGTTCAAATATTTAAAGGGACTGTACACGTAATTTCATTTCCCGTCCGTTGTAAAGAGAAGCAGGTCCGATTCACAACGGTACTTAGAAACAATGTGGAAGATATCGTGGGCGTTTTTCTTAAGAACAGGTTTATTTTGGATAAGTTTAAAGGGCTTTGTTGTGAATCGGACATGCCACTCTATGATTGGAGGGTCACTTGAAATTACGTCTACAGTCCCTTTAATTAAAGCTTAGGTTTAAGTTTGATTGATTGTAAACCTTGACCATTTATTAATTTCAAACATTAATATTATTTTTATTTTATGATTTCATTTGATAATATGCATTTTGTTAATGTTTCAGATAGAATGGGGCAGGAGAAGTATAATCTAAAATGGAATGAGTTTGAAAAGAGTTTTTGCCAGTCTGTCAGAAACATCAGGAAAACAAATTGTCCCAAGAAACTAAGGGTTTAGGGGTGTTTATTTTTAAGAATGATTTTTGAAGATCTTCCAATTGAAAATAGTAATTTTATGAAATTTTGTAATATTTCCATTTTCTAGGCACACAAGCTTGTTCTCAGCTCATGCAGTTCCTTCTTCAAAAATATTCTCAAGGAATCAGCAAAATATTTGTTGTCTAATTTTGTGTATTACAAGTTTTAACTCAGTAGGATAAAATAAAAAAGTTGAAGGCTGTTTTTACATATAACGGGATATTTGTATATTCTAAATAATTTGGGAAAAGCGTAACTTTTGAAAATTTTGGTTTATTTCTTCCAATGCAAAAAATTAGCGAAACAATGATTTTAAAGAAGAACTATAATATGATTTTAGAAAAGTATACTTTAGATACAATAAAGAAAGTGACCTCAGATGATCCTGGAGGTTGTGAATCTCAGATTCAAAAATATGTTTAGGATTGTATTCAGAAAAACCATGATTTGATAAAATGCCCCATTTTCATTGTTTTCATCGTTAGACCTCCAGATATCATTAATATCTGGAGTCACGACCTCCGTGATCATCTGAGGTCAAAAAGGGGTCTCAGACTGGAGTCTGAACACCAAAAATCTATGATTTGATACCTCACATGACTATTTTCATTGATTTCATATTTTGACCTCCAGAGGTCATTAATATCTGGAGGTCACCTCCTCCAGGATCATCTGAGGTCAAAAAGGGGTCTCAGAATGGAATCGGAACCCAAAAAAACCTATGATTTGATACCTCACATGACTTATTTTCATTGATTTCATATTATGACCTCCAGAGGTCATTCATATCTGGAGGTCACGACCTCCTGTATCATCTGGGATTTAAAAAGGTCTCAGAATGGAATCAGAACACCAAAAAACCTTTGATTTTATACCTCACATAACGTTATTTACATTGATTTAATATTTTGACATTTTTAGATGTCGTTATTGAGGGGAGGCCAAACTGGAGGTCGGATATATGTGTCAATATCAGCATATGATTTATGGGGTAGTAAAAATATGAAAACATGTCTGATTGACTTTAAACAATTGAATTAAAGGAATAAAGTGGTATTTTCCCATATTTTCTGAATTCATGGAGGTCAAATGGAGGAGGTCAATGACCTCTGATAGGTAAATGACCTTTGATCTCAAATTTTCTTCGTGATCCTTGTAGATGACCAAAAAAAGTGACTGCTTGCAAAATTTCAGCTCCCTATCTCAAATTTTAGGACCAAACGCAGCCTGCACAATATTTGGTGTCANCCCCCCACCCATAGATATTTAAATTGATTTATTTTGCTGAACCCTGTAGGAAAATCCACACCAGCACCCTCTACTCTATATGAGAAATGTTAGTTTTCATGAACTTCAGGTAAAGTTTAGATGTTCTTAAATATCGTCTTCCGCACCAAAAGAAAAATCCTGGAACATAGTTTTGTAAATCTGCAACTCTGCCGTCCATAGTCGGATTCGGAAGTTTATAGATGCAATAAAGGAGTTCATATTTTTTGTTTTGTTTAAGAAATGGTGTAAATTTTTGATAATCAAAATGATTTTTGATGATCTGGGGAAAAAATGAAAACTAAAAATCTGAAATAAAAACAATTTTTTTCATTATTTTTGATACTTTTTACCCAAAAATTCATTTATTTTCCTCAATTCAGCGAATAAAAGAAAAATAACAAATAAATATTTAAAAATAATCATTATAAAATATGGAACTTAAATTATCAGATTTTCTGTAAAATCAGTTAATAATAATAATTCGAGTTGGGTTCGTTCCAGGGGTGTATATATATTTTCCTGAAGCATCCTTTTCCCCCCCCCCCCCCCAAGATAGGCATGTTTGCGTGGAGCGCTAGAGTATTTGTTACAGTTTTTTTCGCTAAATTGGAAAAATGAATAAATTTTGGGTAAAGAGTAAAAAAGGGAAGAAGAAAAATTGCCTTAAATGTTATGTCCAATTCTTAAAAATACCAAACTTTTCTGCCCCCAATTTTTTTTTCAAGGGAAGCCTCAGCTGACTTTTCCAAGAAGTGATGTTAGATTGCAGTTTTTATTTTTGTTGTAACATTTGGTATGTTTTTGCGAACATCAAGAATTTCTTTTAGGCAATAGTTGATTTCATGTACTTCGGAGAAGTAAATATCGAACAGGTAACTGATAGTTGATTTCATGTACTTCGGAGAAGTAAATATCGAACAGGTAACTGATAACTATTTGTCATTCGACAACTTTTCATGACTTAAATTCTTTTATTACTGTCTTCTGGATCGATTAATTCAATGCTTTTCTGTCCTAGAGGATTAATGGAATGTTTTATGTTTAATACGTTGTTTGTGTTTGGAATTTTGGGTGATTGAAAATGAATTGATTGTTTGTACTTTTTAATTGATAATTGATTCATTTGTTTTTTGTCTTTTTGTTTGATTAATTGATAGTATCATAGTTTTATTAATTTTTTGTTTGTTTGATTGATTGATTGATCAGGAGAACCTAAGTTCCTTCCTTGCTGTTACTGAAGAGCTTCAAATCCATGGACTCAGTGGAAATATAAATCAAGAAACTAAGGTCAGACATAAAACTTAGCACCCCTCCCCCCCCCCCATAATATAAAAGTAATTATTATCTGTCACTGATGCATGAATATTGGATATGTCATTGAATCAAACTATGAGGTTGAGGATGAGAATATCATGAATCTTATATAAACAGTAAAATCTTTTCACGGATATCCCACGTGATGATGATTAATGGCTTTTATTGTTTAAACCTTATCTTCTTTTCTTTTTTTGCCAAAAGGTTTTTCAAATTTTCTACTGTAAAGATGTGTTTCATGATTTTCTATTATTTTCTATTGCAGAAGGAAGGGAGCCGAAAGCGTGATAAGCCCTGCTCTGACTCCTTCCAGTCGAGTCCCATGAAAAAGATGAGATCTCCGTCCCGCCGCCTTTCATCACCACCACCTCCTCCTCCTCCATCTACTACTACATCATCTTCTTCTATCCGTAAACCATTCCTTAGTTCGCTCAATCAGCAGGCAGGGGATTAGAAAACTTATTTCTTTTATATTTTCCTCATTTGCATTGGAATTTACATTGATTTCCATGTTTTCATTTTTAGCCAAGTCTCAGTTTTTTTAAAGCAGACAATTGAATCCCTTCAAATAATAATTTTTGAGAAAATATTGGTGGAATCTAGCTTCCTAATGTTAATAAAATATAATTTTTCATCCTGGAATGGAATTTTTAAAATTCTAAACTTTTTATGTTACTTTGAAACTTTTACACCCCTGAATTATACAGGATGTAGATACTGGCATATTGCATGTAGAAGATCTTAAACAAGGTGAATATATTTTTACCAAGTAATAATAATCTATATAAAGTAGTAATCTCTGTTTGTTTGTTGGTCCGATCATAACTCAAGAACCCCTTGACCGAGTTGCCTCAAATTTTGATTGAGGAATTCGGTAGAATCAGGAGAATTCTTAGCTGTCTGTTTAAAATTTAAGTTGACTGGGTTGGATTTTACAGCGAAAGTTTAGTTTCCAGACAAGGCTGGGTACCCAAGCTTGTAATTTACATCAAGTTTAAAATACAAATATGTCAAGAGGTCTAATCATTTCATAGAAATCCGCGAATATCTTGAGAAATTAAAATATATTGAGAAATTAATATTGGCCAAGAAATTAGGATACGAATAATAGTAATAATAATAATAATAATAATAAAATAGTTCTGGGAAATCTTAAAACATACGAAACAAATGTTGGATTCAGAATTTAGAGAGGTTTGAATATTTTGTTAACTTTCATCATTTTAAGTATATCGTTGTCCGTCCATAGGAAAGGATTATTCACAAAGGATGAGACGACAGAGACGACTGTACGGAATTGATACTGTCTTATTTCCATTATAAACTTCTTTCTTTCTTTGTTAAATCATAAAATAAGCCATTTTAAGACGACATTCAAGGCAGAAGCTTTAATTTAAACTTATAACCGTCATATGAGTTTTAAGTTTTTACAGTTTCATCTTGTGAAGGTAACCCTGTAAATTGGTTTTGTTTGGACAAAATTCTAATTTTATTTTTTATTTCTATTTTTTAGAAGTAATATTGGAACCGGATTCTATAGCTACTGATCCAGGGAGAATGTTGGAGACACACAACTCTGACCTGCACCTTGCACATCAGGAATACCAGGTATATATATAGCACCTGGAGCATGTTGGAGACACACAACCCTGACCTGCTCCTAACACACCAGGAATACCAGGTATATATATAGCACCTAGAGCATGTTGGAGACACACAACCCTGACCTTCTCTTAGCACACCAGAAATACCAGGTATATAAAGTATCAGGAGCATGTTGGACACTCACAACCCTGACCTTATCCTAACACACCAGGAATACCAGGTATATATATAGAACCTGGAGCATGTTGGAGACACACAACCCTAACCTTCTCCTAACACACCAGGAATAACAGGTATATATATAGCACCTGGAGCATGTTGGAGACACACAACCCTGACCTTCTCCTAGCACATCTGGAATACCAGGTATATATAGCACCTGGACCATGTTGGAGACACGCAACCCTGACCTTCTCCTAGCACACCAGGAATACCAGGTATATAAAGTATCAGGAGCATGTTGGAGACTCACAACCCTGACCTTCTCCTAACACACCAGGAATGCCAGGTATATATATAGCACCTGGAGCATGTTGGAGACACACAACCCTGACCTTCTCCTAGCACATCAGGAATACCAGGTATATAAAGTATCAGGAGCATGTTGGACTCTTACAACCCTCACCTTTTCCTAGCACACCAGGAATATCAGGTTTATACAGGACCTGGAGCATGTTGGACACACAACCCTGACCTGCTCCTAGAACACCAGGAATATCAGGTTTATACAGGACCTGGAGCATGTTGGACACACAACCCTGACCTTCTCCTAGCACAACAGGAATGCCAGGTATAAGCAGGACCTGGAGCATGTTGGAGACACAACCCTGACCTGCTCCCATCATTAGCATCATTATTTCTTTAATTAATCCATTATGAAATTGAATTTTGATTAATCTTTGAATTTTATTATAAACTTTTTTATTTGTCAAATATTTAGGTTGCTGACGAAAGTGATATTTACGGAGAGGATGGATATGATTATGATATGGATATGGACGGATCAAATCAAGGTATTTATTTATTTCTCATCTTTTGATTTTGCATTTTGTTTTCTTCACTGCCAGAAACCCTCTGCAGGGGTCAATATTTCACAGATATTATTTTAAAAATTCCCAAAAATCTCTTAAATATAAAAAAATATTGCACAAAGATTCGAACAGAATTTAAACCGAGCCATTCCCTTTGCATTTTATTCTTGGATTTAATCATCCACCTTAAATGTCAAAAAGTAGATGACCTTTAGATGTCTGAATTTTCATTCTCCACCACCCCCTGTTCCTGCTAGGAAAAAATACATAGACAGAAAAAACATCCGGATCCACGAACTTGGTTCAAATACCAAAAGAGCAATCAAATCAAATCAAAACAAATCTGTTTTTTCTCAAAATGATAACCTACACCAAGATTATTAAATTGAGTAAATGTTGAAAATTGCTAATTGTGTTAGTATTCTGTACTGAAGTGGAGCCATTTTGGTTTTCTTATTCCTAAACTGAAACACTAAACTTGGTCTAAATATAAAACAGAATATCAAAAAAGAATTATTCTTTCATTTAATTTTACAGTAATTTTGACAATATTATTATTAAAGGGCTGGAAGGAGGGCTTGAGGGAACCTACGGTGATGTCCCATACCACTCTTTAATACAGGAGAGTCAATATTTATACAAAACACCCCCCTGTTCTCTTTCCTTCCTTTTCCTCCTATATATCCCATCTTTTTCTTTAATTCACTCTATTTTTCCATTTTCAAATATTGACATTGTCCCTAGAAAGATGAAAGCGTTGAGTGTACTATTTGTGGAAAACTGTTTACTTGTATGCGCAATGCGCGTCGGCATATGCGCTCCTTGCACGCCGATTCCCCAATCGAATGTCCTGCCTGCGGCAAAATGTCTAAAAATGAGCGAACCTTCAAAACCCACAGTAAAAGTCATTGTAAATTCGCGAAAATGAGTTCGGATAATTACGACGTATAAATATTGACCCCTGCAGACTGAGGACGGCTTTATCTGTAAACTCTGTGGCAAAACCTTCACTAAGAGTCAGAATGCACGACGGCATTTGCGCAATGCGCACGTGAGCCAGCCAATGACTTGCAGTTTTTGTAATAAAACACTAAAGAATGAAAGAACTTATAAAATGCATGTTTCGTTAAATCATACTGACAAACAATGATTTGCCTATTTATCAATGAATCAATAAAATTAAAAATTAAGGATAACGTCTTCTTAACTTTGAAAAAAACTGGGCAGCATTTTAACAATCAGCAGATATTGATTCATTGATTTATTATATATTGTTAAATACCAGGGTATACTTTGTTAAAACTGTTAAAATTGTTAATAAAGAAGTTAAAACATCTTTTGTAATCAAGTGAAGAGAACATATTGGTCAATGGTCATGTATTTTTGTCACGTCTTGAAAATTTCTCATTTTTCACAACGCAGATATAGATATATTTAACTTTTTAATTTTTTAATTAAAATCCATTTTAAAAAGAATTAAAACTGAAACCAAAATTTGTAGTATTTTAAGGTAAAACTTTATAACTTAAATAGTGAGAAATCAATTCAAAATGGTCGGAATTTTATGATGCAGGATATTGTTAATGTGTAAGTTTTATTTTTATTTTTAATTCGTAGATGTGAGCAGTTTGGTTTTAGCGAGGACAGATCCTTTTAGGCAAGTCTTTTTTTCAAAATAACGTGAAATTTATTTTTCTAAAAGACAAATTTAAGTTTAAATAAAGATAATGTTGGAGATTTTTAAAAAATTTTACTTATGACGTATTTCCATCCCTTTTTTTTTACACAATCGGAAGATCACATTTGAAGCGTTACACAAACTTTAAAACACCCTGAACACTAAAAAAGTTCTATTTGGGTTTTATGTATATTATTACTTTTAAACAAATGTATGGAACGATAAACGCAATATAATGAATTTTCCTCTTTATGAAAAAATGCAAAAAAAATGCATGAACTTCAAATGACGTTTTGCCAAAAAATTATATTTTAACAAATTTTAATCATCAATTTCCAGGGGTCAATATAATTCCCTTTTCAATCCCATTTGGGATTGACAAATTTGAAAGAAATGGGGGCAAATTATTTAATTGGGGGCAAATTTTTTTTATATGATAATTAAAAAAAAAATTGGGGGCATTTTTTTTTAAAAT